TTAGATATATTTTTTCCTTCCCTTCTTCATCCATGTGCATCTTTCCTGTCCCTTCTTCATTATTTCTCTTTTTTCCTTACTTTGCTTCTTTACCTCCTTCTCTTCCCTTCTTCATCCATTTATCTCCTTCCCTTCCCTTCCCTTCGCTCCCCTTCCCTTCCCTAACTCTTCCTCTTTTGAAGAGACATATAATAAAAAAATAAGCCAGCCTCAATTCAACTGAAAATCCTAAACAACTTAAGACCATTATTTCTGCTGTGTGGTCCGAAAGTCATGAATTATGAAATACACGATACTAGAATTCTGATTTTTTTTTTAAAAGCAAATTGTTATCAATCAGACCGCTTAGAAATGCATCAGCTTCTGTCTTCCGTGTGCTTTAAATCATATCTTCCCCTCCCATCTCCACCCTTGGTTCCTGGATTTTTGCAGAAGTTTTAAAGTAACCTATAACCAATGCATTTCTGTTTGGGCGGTGTCCAATTATTTGTTCAACTTCCAAAACTTATCACACTGTGCCCTCTAGTGCAAAAACGCAATGTTGCACTACAAATTAAAACCCACGAGCACCAGGCTTTGCTTAAAGACAAATGAGAAATGAGAAACAGAAATATGGACAGGGTTTTCAGAAAAAGAGGCAAAACGCCTGTATCACACCTTTTTAGTCCGATTTTCAATTCTGAAGGTGGAAAAGCGACATCCTTAAAATGGCAAAAACCCTGCCTCCTTTTGTAGACTTTATGTTGCATGGAATAAAACGTTTGTGGCTTTTGTAGACACGCTTACCTGCATTGCTATAACAAATGTACGTAGCCATAAACACTGATATTCAGCCCTCAATTAAAAATCAATAGTTTAGAACCACTCCACAAAATCAATTTTCTTTTTTCCACGAAGGCTTTATATACAGTATTTGTAACAGATGGGGTGGTGTGTTTTTGGTTTTTGTTTTGCTTTCCATCTTGTTATAAATGGAATCTTGATTTTATTACTGTATTTAATCCACTAGAGATAGAACATTGGGCTTTGCCTAGCTCAATTCCAGTCCCCTTTAAAACATGAACACTCTGCATGAATTCAAGATTAAATATATATATATATTCATTTATTTTACTTTATTTCATTTATTTATTTCATTTAATTTCACTTATTTCATTATTTTATTTTCCTATTTTATTTTGCTTTATTTTATTTATTTATTGTTCGCATCTCTGAAGTGCCCCTCTCCCTCAGATAGGGATTGTGGCAGGGGTGGGTTTCTACCAGTTTGCCCCGGTTCGGGCAAACTGGTAGCAGCGGCGGCAGTGGGAGGCTCCGCCCACTCACCTGGATGTCATCACGGACCCTCTGCACATGCACAGAAGCATCGCGCGCGTGCTCACAGTTCTGAAGCGGTAGCGAAGGTAAGTGAAAACCACTCCTGGACTGTGGGCAGCGTAAAATAAAGGATTAAAATATAAAGAGAGTACATAAATGTTGAAAAAGAAATTAGAAAGTGACAATGGTGATGAAAACACTGCTAAAATTAATTAAAAGGTGAAGGGAGGACACTCCCACGGCTGGATGTTCCTCTGTGCTCCCCACACGAGTCCACGGATCCTGCTTTTTAACTCCTTTTTGGAAGGCCAGGAGACTGGCTCCAGCCTCACCTCCAAGAAGAGACTATTCCACATGGTAGGAACAACGGCAGAGAAGGCTCACTTCCTGGACTCCCACCAGTGGGAGTTTTTTAATTGACAGGCTCTGCAACATATTTTCCTTGCCTGGCCTGGTGAGACAGGAGACTGTAACGGAAGGAAGATGGTTCAGTAGATAGCCTGGTCCTAGGCCATGTAAACGGGACGCGGTGGCTCAGTAGATAAAAATAGAATAGAATTGAATTTTTTTTATTGGCCAACTGTGATTGGATACACAAGGAATTTGTCTTGGTGCATATGCTCTCAATGTACATAAAAGAAAAGATACGATCATCAAGAATCATAAGGTATAACACTTAATGATAGTCATAAGGTACAAATAAGCGATCAGGAAATAATATCAATATAAATCGTAAGGATCCAAGCAACAAAGTTACAGTCATACAGTCATAAGTGGGAGGAGATGGGTGGTGGGAACGATGAGAAGATTAATAGTAGTGCAGACTTAGTAAATAGTTTGACAGTGTGGAGGGAATTATTTGTTTAGCAGAGTGATGGCGTTCGGGGAAAAAACTGTCCTTGTGTCTAGTTGTTCTGGTGTGCAGTGCTCTATAGTGTCGTTTTGAGGGTAGGAGTTGAAACAGTTTATGTCCAGGATGTGAGGGGTCTGTAAATATTTTCTCAGCCCTCTTTTTGACTCGTGCAGTATACAGGTCCTCAATGGAAAGCAGGTTGGTAGCCATTGTTTTTTCTGCAGTTCTAATTATCCTCTGAAGTCTGTGTCTGTCTTGTTGGGTTGCATAGCCAAACTAGACAGTTATAGAGGGGCAGATGACAGACTCAATAAATCCTCTGTATATGAATGATGTTGCAAATGATGGAAGAAGTTGCGCAGAGATGCTTGTACCCAGATGGCACAATGCTTAAGGAAAGATGGAATGTTTATCTTTGTAATTGAAGAATAAAAAAAAACCTTTTTATTTCTATTTTTAAAAAAACTCAACATCAGCTAACTGTTTTTAGCACTCCCTCTTTTAACAACTCATGGGATGGAGAAGCTAGGAATGAAGCTGGCGACTATACATGCTTGCCAAAAATAAATAAATAAAAATAAAATAAACTATGAGGACATGGTCCACAGTATTTTTTTTTACTCTTGCGTCCGGCAAGAAAGCAAGAATGTTCAAATGAGATTTTCTTGGCAGATACAAGCTATGAGTTCGCCTACCGCTATCCAATACGTGATGCTTGTGTGAGTGACAATAAAGACCTCGCATTTATTTCTGACTGTGCTTCACCTCTCGCGTGGAATAATCCTCAGGGAAAGAGAAGAGGACATTTAAGCATCCTTCATCCCATGATAAATTCTAGCTCATCTGGAAAAGAATGAAGATGTGAAATTGCTGGAAGAGATTGGCTTCCCCCAGGCACCAATTTAGTCTGGATCATTGGATTTACAGCCTGGTATTGCCAATACTGATTTGACTGCTAATGCCTTCAATGCTTCACAAATTATGACATAAATCCAATAAAGGAGCACTCATATGACTCCAAAGACCAATCTCACTTATCTTGATTTTCCATTCATGAAAAATGCTGCTGTTCTTAGCGGAGGCAGCCATTCAAGGGGTTAGATCGAATTAAAAGGCAAGGGAATAAATAGATCACAGTAGATTTTTGGGTGGTGAGTAGCAAAATGTGGCACAGAATTCTGAAAGAGATCTAAAAGGTGGAGGGGCGGGGAAGAGGGATGGATTGGCCTCTCGTATGACAATAAAACCTGGCCTTTTCCATGGGTGAGTTTGGAGAACATTAACCAATACTTCATTCTGAATGTAGAAGCAATCGAAAAAAATGTACCCTTTTATAGGAAGGCTGGAGAAGACAAATGGAATCTGTTCAGGTGCAGAATATGACAATGACAAACTGATTTCCTTGATTAAATATAAATCAACAGGTACTTTAATGGGAAACTTTTAATGGACTCCTTGCTGAAAATGATAAAAATGAACTACAGGTAATTCCTCAATTTACCATCACAATTGAGCCCAAAATTTAGACCCCCAAGGCTGATAGATAGATAGATAGATAGATAGATAGATAGATAGATAGATAGATAGATAGATAGATATAAGAGATAAAGATAGATAGAGATAGAGATAAGAGATAACGATAGATATAGAGATAAGAGATAAAGATAGATGATATAGATGACAGATAGATGATATAGATGACAAATAGATAGATAGATGATAGATGATAGATAGATGATAGATGATAGATATAGATAGATAGAAGATAGAGATAGATAGATAGATAGATAGATAGATAGATAGATAGATAGATAGATATAGATAGATGATAGATAGATGATAGATGATAGATATAGATAGATAGAAGATAGAGATAGATAGATAGATAGATAGATAGATAGATAGATAGATAGATAGATAGATAGATATAGATAGATGATATACTGTAGATGATAGATAGATGATATAGATATAAAGATAAATGATAGATGATAGATAGAAGATAGGTAGATGATAGAAAGATAGATAGATAGGAAGGAAGAAGAAGGAAGGAAGGAAGAAAGAAAGAAAGAAAGAAAGAAAGAAAGAAAGAAAGAAAGAAGAAAGAAAGAAAGAAAGAAAGAAAGAAAGAAAGAAAGAAGAAAGAAAAAAGAAAGAAAGAAAAAGAAAGAAAGAATTCTTTATTGGCCAACAAGGCCAATAAGGAATCTGTCTTCGGTGCATATGCTCTCAGTGTACATAAAAGGAAAAGATACGTTCATCAAGAATCATAAGGTACAACACTTAATGATAGTCACAGGGTACAAATAAGCAATCGAATCATACTAGGAAACAATCCTAGATTAATAACAAACAACAAAGATTAAAAGGCAATGCCGCCTCTGCCACGAAAAACCAGGGCTGCAGACAACCATGCCCACTTTTAAGACGCCTGGACTTCAATTCCCAGAATTCCCCAGCTAGCCAACGTTAAGAAATATTCCTTTAGGGCAGTGTTTCTCAACCTTGGTAGCTTGAAGATGGGTGGACTTCAACTCCCAGAATCCCCCAGCCAGCAACGCTGGCTGGGGGATTCTGGGAGTTGAAGTCCACCCATCTTCAAGCTACCAGGTTGAGAAACACTGCTTTAGGGCTTCTATGGTAAAGCTGAGGTGGGGAACGTTGGTCCCTTCATGACTTGCGGACTTCAACTCCCAGAATCCCTGAGCCCAGCATGAAAGTCCCACTTTCTACCTCAACGTACCGCGTAATTTCACTCGCTCCGCACTTCGTTCTTATTGGCGGCTTTCTTGCCTCCGCCTCTCTTCCCCTCTAAGCCTATCGGAGAGCGGCGGCCACGCATGCGCCTTTCATTTTACTTCGTGAAGCGGACAGGCGAGGGAGAGGCTCTTCAGCCGGGGGCTGATTCCGGCTTTTTTTTTTTTTTCGCGTTTTAGGATAAAATTTTTGACGGAGATGGAGAGTAAGTCTTTGCGGGAGCCTAAATTCGTGGCCTGTTCCTTTCTGTGCCGGCGTGCGCAGAGGGTAGCCCTTAATCCGAATTAATTAATTAATCCGAAGTGACTCCGGTTTGGGTTTAGGAGGCGCCTTTTTGGGAAAGTGGAGCCTCGTTTCTAGCAAGGGATGCAAAGATGATCCCTTTTACAGGATTGGGTTGGGTGGATTTTTTGGGAGGGTTTTTTTTTGCCCCTTGTTTAAGGAGTCTTAATCCGATTTAACTGACTTTGCAAATGTAATTTTTGGAACCAGATTCTCTCCAGGGGCTAATTAAGTGGGAAGGGAAAATTAGGGGAGAATTAGGATTTAGGGAATCTCCAGGCACGTGTTTGGTCTGGAAGAAGGCACCGCCTGAGACTGGAGAATCAGATCTTGTTAGCACAGGGATGGGGCACCACCTGGAAAGCCCAGGGCTCAGGGGTGAAATCCAGCAGGTTCTGGAGAACCGGTAGCGGAAATTTTGAGTAGTTTGGAGAACCAGCAAATACCACCAGTAAAATCTCCATTCCCGCCCTGAGAGTGGGATGGGAATGGAGATTTTACAATATCGTTCCCCTGCCGCGCCCACCAAGCCACGCCTACGGAACAATTTTAGGAAAAAAATTGGATTTCACCCCTGCCAGGGCTGCTCAGAAGAAAGAGGTGGCGAACCGTTTTTGTCCTGTTTTTGTACAGGTAGTCCTCAATTTATGACCCCAATGGAGCCCAAAATTTCTTGTTGTTGAGGTCAGACTGTTGTTAAGGGAGTTTTGCCCCCTTTGGTGACTTTTCTTGCCACAGTTGCTAAAGTGAATCGTTGCAGTTGATAAGTTAGTGACCCTTTTTGTTAAGTGAATCTGGCTTCCCTATTGATTTTGCTTTGTCCAAAGGTTGCAAAAGGGGACCACGTGTCCTTGGGACACAGCAACGGTCATAAGTGTGAACCTGCAACGATCGTAACTATGAAAAGTCAGAAAGAGAGAGAAAGAAAGGAAAGAGAGAGAGAAAGAAAGAAGAGAGAGAGAAAGAGAGAGAAAGAAAAGAAAGAAAGAAAAGGAAGAGAAAGAAAGAAAGAAAGAAAGAAAGAAAGAAAGAAAGAAAGAAAGAAAGAAAGAAAGAAAGAAAGAAAGAAAGAAAGAAAAAAATGGATGGGGCTATTGGATATTACTGTGAATAAAATTATTACCTCCTGGATGCTAGAATATTGCTAGAAGAGTATTAAATGTAAAAAGAGAAAGCAATGGTGAAATCCAAATTCTTTTACTACCGGTTCTTTGGGCGTGACTTGGTGGGCATGGCTTGATGGCCATGGCAGGGGGAGGATACTGCAAAATCCCCATTCCCTTCCCACTCCTGGGGGAAGGGTATTGCAAAATCTCCATTCCCACCCCGCTCTGGGGCCAGCCAGAGGTGGTATTTGCCGGTTCTCCGAACTGCTCAAAATTTCCGCTACCGGTTCTCCAGAACCTGTCAGAACCTGCTGGATTTCACCCCTGGAGAGAAGGCAGTAGATTAGCAGTAGTTATTTTCCCAATTGAATTTATTTATTTATTTATTTTTTTGCTACAATTTTACAAGTTACTTTTTATGGAGTAACTTTTCAACTCAAACAATAAAGTTGCCATTTTTGTTTGTTTAGCCTTTTTTGAAGAAGTATTTGTGTTGCAACCTACAGAAACAAAAAATGAATGTGTGGCAGGAAGCATCTTTGTACAAAAATAATCAGCTTAGGCCTTGTAACAAAATACGTACTCTGAGTTGGCTTTGGCAGGCGTGCCTCATCTTGAAAAGTTCGGCATCAAATACAACCTGGATTGAGCGTGTTGGATGTCATACGCCATAAGAGCAAAATCTCATCTTCCCTAATTGTTCTGTCTTTATAGCAACATGGTTTAGATCTCTGTTGTTTCATAACTTCAAACATCCCCTGGAGAAAGATGGACATATCCCTGAAACAATATACTTTGCTTTGTTTTTAAAGTTTTTAAAGTAAACTCTATATTTTATTTTCCAGAAGTGTTATATAAGAAGCTGCCCGAGTCGACAGCAAAACTTGTGGACCTTCAGGTATTTTTATCTTACGGTATTTATTAATTAGGGGACACAGTGGCTCAGTGGCTAAGACACTGAGCTTGTCGATCGAAACGTCGGCAGTTCAGCGGTTCGAATCCCTAGTGCCGCGTAACGGGGGTGAACTCCCGTTACTTGTCCCAGCTTCTGCCAACCTAGCAGTTCGAAAGCACGTAAAAAAATGTTTATTTGTCCTCATCTCGTTCCCTCACCTAAAATCTCCTGCAAATGCAATGGTGAAGGACAACTGTGTGTAATTTCTACTGTGGACTCGGGTTAGGGTAGCTGTGGAACCTGTGCTCAATTTTAATCATTAGGGTTGCTAATGAGTCCAAGCAATCAATATGGTTTCAATATTGGGACCTGAGCAACACGGTGGCCTATTGGTGGAGCTCTCATCTCACAATCAAGAGGCTGTGAGTTCGATCCGAGGCAGTGGCAGATATTTCTCTCTCTGGATGCAATAAGTTATTGTCTGCTCTAAACTCTGCATAGGCGTCAGGAAGGGCATACGGCCAGTAAATGCTCTAGCTCCCTTCAGTTCTCCCCTCCCCCACATTCCACACCGATGCAGAGGATTTACAGGGTCATTAATAGAAAAAAAAATGATAATATTGGACCTATTATTCACATCCTGGAGTCTTCTTGGAGTTAGCAGCCTTAAATCTAATAAATAAAATATTTCCATGGGTTGGGGGGTAAAGAATAACCTAATCCTCAAATTAGAATTTGATCTTTGTTCAAGATGCTTCTTTCCTTTCTCTTTCTCAGCCACAAGCATCCAACAAGGCGGAGGCCTTTGTTAAGGCCTTTCTGAAACGCAGCATGCCCGGGAAGAGCGAGGAGGACATTGAGAAACACTTAAACCACAAAGCGGTCGTCCTTGAGCACCCGCAACCGAGGAGGACCCGGCAGAAGGTCAGACGGAGGAAAGGGTTATCGGCCAAACAGAGGCGAGAAATGCGTCTCTTTGAGATTGCTCCAGAACAGCAGAGGTGAGAAAGGCAAGCTGGCTCTCCTGCGATTCGGTTGGAGTGATTGATGATTGATTGATTGATTAATTTGATTTGATTTTTGGGTGGTTTGATGCCCTCTGGGATTGCAAGAGCTGGGATCGGCTGTAATGATACGTGGTTACCTTGGGAGACAGGAAGAAGAGCTACAGGCAGGAAAGTGGTCAGATAAGAAGCAGCTGAGCCCACAGAAAAGAAACAGGCATGGCAAATGTCTCAGAAGGGATCCTCCAGAGAGAGAGAGAGAGAGAGAGAGAGAGAGAAAGAGAGATAGGTAGATAGATAAAGAGCCTTGGTAGTACAGTGGTCTAGGGCACTCTGTTATTAAGCTGGTTATTAAGACCAGCTGCCTGCAATTACTGCAGGTTCGAATCTCGCCAAGGCTCAAGGTTGACTCAGCCTTCCATCCTTTCTAAGGTAGGTAAAATGAGGACCCAGTTGTGGGGGCAATAAGCTGACTTTGTATAAATATACAAAAGGATGAAGGCTATTGCTGAGCACATTGTAAGCCGCCCTGAGTCTCCGGAGAAGGGCGGCATATAAATCAAATAAAAAAAAAAATAGATAGATAGATAGATAGATAGATAGATAGATAGATAGATAGATAGATATAGCGATAGATAGAGAGATATAGCGATCAATCAATCGATAGATTAGAGAGAGAGATAGTGATAAGATAGGTAAGTAGGTAGATAGAGCGATAGATAGATTAGATAGAAAGATAGAACGAAAGAAAAAGAAGAAAAAGAAAAAGAATTCTTTATTGGCCAAGTGTGATTGGACACACAAGGAATTTGTCTTTGGTGCATATGCTCTCAGTGTACATAAAAAGACAAGATACATTCGGCAAGTCTGTTGGATAAGCTGCCTCTTATCCAACTGTTTTCCTCCCTGTCACTTTTCCTCCCATCTTCCAAGGTCGCGAGAGTGAAAAAAGTGCACCACCACCCCAAGTACATGAGTGGGCCTTTGCGGATTCTTAAACCCCTTTTGACCTCTTTGTATCCAAATATTGCACACCTGTCTTGGGGAATCCCTGCTATAAACCGTCCCCATATATAGCTGCTTTCTGGCAAACCCCTAATCTGTGATGGCTCATTTTGGGGGTTATTTTCTGGAATGGTAGTTCACCACAAGAGGGCAGTAGGTTATTTTTTTTTAAATATATATATATATATATTATTTAAGCTGCCTTCTTTTAAAGCTGTGACTGTTTTTGCTTTATTTAAAAAGATTTAAAGAGGTTTGAATTGTAGTTTAAGGGCCTACACTTGGCTGAATTTAGAAAGGAAGAAGAAGCTGGAAGCCTATCGCTGTGGATTGAGCTCCCCCTTCCCCCCAACAGTTAACACTGCGGGGAGCAAGTTAGGTCCAATAGAAAAAGAAAAAGAGTCCAGAAGCAACATTAGCAGATAATTACCCTGTTTCCCCCAAAATAAGACATCCCCTGATAATAAGCCCAATCAGGCTTTTGAGCGCATGGCAATAAGGGCAAGCGCTTATTTCAGGGTTCAAAAAAATATAAGACAGAGTCTTATTTTGGGGGAAACACGGTAGCTCAATTGCCATAGAGTTAGAATAGGTCTAAGGCAGGGGTCAGCAACCTGCGGCTCCGGAGCCGCATGTGGCTCTTTCACCCCTCTGCTGCGGCTCCCTGTCACTCAAAATATGCATCCCAACTGCCAATGTGCGACACCTGCCAGCACACAGTTTATTGAGCTTTTCAACCCCTGATAGGCCAACCATGGATAAATCCAAGAAAAGAAAAGTTTTAGAAAAAAACAGAACGTTTAATTCAACTACATGTGCTAGTTTAGTGGCCGCTCAAGAAATAGTCAGGAGAGGAAGGGTTTTGTGGCTCCTGGTGTTTTCTTTTCTGTGGGAAACAGGTCCTAATGGCTCTTTGAGTGTTTAAGGTTGCAGACCCCTGGTCTAAGGTGTCAAGCAGCCTAAATTTTCAAAGGAAAATTAAAAGCCACCATTAGCAACATTGATTATGGGGCTGGTGGGATGCTACAATAGTCATAAGTGCAAAGATCAGTCACAAGTCACTTTTTGCAGTGCCATTGTAACTCGGTTATAAGTCAAGGGCTATTGTTAGTTAAACCAGGAACAAATTCCGTTCCAATGAAATACTTTACAGAGGCCCTGGACAATTATCACATATGGTCCTTGCTTTTTTTTTTTTTTTGCTTATTCTGCAGATACGAGATATTTATCCCATTGCATGAGCTTTGGAAACAGTACATTAGAGAACTCTGCAACGGATTGAAACCCGATGCGTAAGTTCAGTTCTTTTCATTCATTCATTCTTTTTTGTTGTTGTTGTTGTTGTTGTTGTTGGAAAAAATATCCTTCTGGGTTCAGTTCCAAGTAGGGAAAAAGACACTGGAGTCATGGAAGTTGCTTGGAAAGAAGGTTTTATTGATGAACAGGATCACATGGCTTGAGTTCCTAAGCAGAAAAAGAGTCGAGATGCTGAGAATGCCTTGGTTTTATGCCCTCTGTTGGGCCCTGAACTTGAGCTTGTATTCTGATTAGTTGTCAAACTCCCATGGGGCCATGCAGGGGCAAGTCTGTAGGTTGTCTTTTGAGTCCCAAGCTTGGTTGAGCCTTACTGGGTGATGTAATCTCCCCAGGTGCCATGTGGTGAGTTCTGTTGCTAGGTGGGTAGAGAGCTAATGCTACCTTTGTTGGGTCTTGGGTGAGGGCATTTGCCTATGAATAGACCTGGCTATCTCTTTATCTCTTAAGTGTGGACATCTTCTGTGGGCTATTGAGGAAGATGGGGCTATTAAGAGTGAGTCTGCTTCCTGCCTAAAAACATGTTTCTCCATTTCTCATCCAGGGAAATATAATATTCTGCCTTTTTAATATTTCCTAGAATATTTCATTTTCCTAGGAGAGGGTGGGTGCTAACTTCCTACATTGCAAACTGGTTGCATATTTAGTGGGGATGGAGGCCATCCCTCAGAAGGCTGGCGATTTCTTCTCTGGTGGGGGAAAAAAAACCTTTCAATAAGACCAAATGAAATTGGCATTCTAGAATTGTTCCGTTTCAGAGCTTGAGAAAGGAAATGTTTATAACGAGGTTTTTAAGCTTTTTTAAAGTTTGAAAAGATGGCCATTGAACATCTTTTTTTTAAACACACACAAACACACGTGTGTTCCTGGAGTCTCTACAGAACTGGCTGTATTTGAGCGAAGGCGGTCTTGATGGGATCCTTGCTTTTTGCAAAACACATTTTTAAAAGAAACCCTTGTCTATGTGAATGCGTCCTTAAGTCAGATCTCTTTTATATGAAAACCCAGCTGATGGGGAAGAGTTGAATCACAGTTTTGTGTGTATAACTATATTACAAACTATTCTAAAAATATGAGTTCCAGGTATATTAATAAAGAAAGAAGCAGACATTCTGTGAGCTCCGGAACTTAAAATTTTAAAATAAAAATTATAACAACTATATTATTTAATATTTAAACCTGGAACCTCTTCATTTAGAATCTGACCTCAAATAGTTTTGCAAAGCCAGGCACTGGAAGTTTGTTTTATTTTGTCACTGGGTTAGGTTTATGCTCTGTATTTAATCACTACTGTGATCATTGCCGTATTTTCAAGTGAAAATTGCATCTTGTTTACCGTAATTTTCGGAGTATAAGACGCACCTTCCCCCCCCCCCCCAAAAGAGGGTGAAAATTTGGGTGCGTCTTATACACCGAATGTAGCCTTACCGGCCCCCACCCTTTGGCCTCTGCCTCCCAGCAATTTGCCTCCTTGCAGCAAACAGCAAACAGCCCGTTTCAGCTTCAGCACAGCCTGATTACCACAAGCACCTGATTGTCAATTGGATCGGCCTCCCGACCATCGGCTGTTTCAGGCTGCAGGGATCGCCATTGCCCATTGCCTCACGCCCCATTTGCTGCAAGGGGAAAATTGCTGGGAGGCAGAGACAGATTTTTTTTTCTTGTGCTAATCAGGCTGTGCTGAAACTGAAACTGAAACTGGCTGTTTGCTGCAAGGAGGCAATTGCTGGGAGGTAGATTTTTTTTTTTCTTGTTTTCCTCCCCAAAAAAGGTAGGTGCAGAGCGTCTTATACTCCGAAAATACAGTAATTGTTTGCATGTATTGTAACTCCAAAATTACATCTTGTACTCTTACCTTCCTTTTGTTTAACTTTCTGGAAGAATTTTTAATCTATTTCTACATGCGTTTTGCAGACAACCACAGATGATTCAAACCAAGTTGCTTAAAGCCGATTTCCACGGAGCACTCATGACAGGTATTCCTCTGCCTTTTTTTTTTTTTAATTGAAACTTACACTATACCCCCCCAAAAAATTTAAATCACATTTCCCTCCCCTTAACTTTACATAGTGGATTTTGTTTGAATTTACTTGCACACCATAGGAAGAAGTTGTTGGTTTTTTTTTGTCTGACCTGTATATCAACTTCATTGAGGATCCCTGTGAAAAGTTCTTATCGTTTATTTATTTTTTTTCTCCACACTGGGGATAATATTACACATCTTGCGGGTACCTTAGAAGTTAGGTTTTGCAAGGGTGAGGAGGACAAAGGTCGTGTTGAACCTTGAGAAAGGTTGAAGGGGCAAAAGTTAGTTTTCTGGTATCTCAAAGGGTGTGCCAGGCTGCAGAGAAACCTGTTCTCGATTATTGCATTCCCAGAAACCAACATCTTAAGTTACAGGAAGAGAGTTCCCTTGAATGCCAGGAAAATCTTCCTAACAGTGAGCACAATTTGGCTATATATCATCTTCTTTTAATGACCCCATAATCCCTTGCAGGGTGGAGTCTGGGCAAGGGAATGGAGCTGAGAGTTTACTGGCCGGATGCCCTTCCTGTCCCCAGTGCGGAGTTTTGTTCAGCAGATATATTCTCATTGTGCCCAGAGAGAGAAATACCTGCCTCTACCTAGGATCGAACTGACAGCCTCCTGATTGTGAGGCGAGAGTTCCACCTCTAGGCCGCCGCACCACTCGAGCAATTTGGTCATATATCCCTTTACCAAAAGAAATAGCGATGGGTTCTCTTTCATTGGATAGTGGCTGGCTAGCCATAGGATTGATATATTTTTATTTATTTTAAAAGATTGATACGGCCGCCCATCTGGGGAGGCACAACCCTCAAGGACTAATGGCAGTAATAACAACAGAAATAAAACCATCCCTAATCCAGGAAAAACCCAGCATCCAATCCCTCCTTTTATGCAGTTCTCCAGGCTGCAGTCTTGTTATCCCAGAGAAAATGCCAATTCTCAATGGCTTTCCAGAAAGCTAAAAGGATTTAACTGGATTTCAAGGGGAAGAGTGTTCCCCAGAGCAGGGATCGCTACAGAAAGGTGCTGTCAACTCACCTGCTCTTGAGTTGCCATAGGCAAGGGGGGATGGGAAACAGATGATTTATTTTATTTAGCGTATGGCTGGTCACACACAATATTAAAAGACTTCATTTTTACAGGTTAAAACAATTAAAAAAAGAACAGTAAGAAAACCTAAGAGGAAAACAGAAATAACATTTTAGAGTTTAATGTCGAGTTTGGAGATGCACATTCTAGACTTATCTCTCAAGGCTGTCTCCCAGGGTTACCCACAGCGGCCAGAGGGGAGTGATCGCTACAACCCGTGAAATTGCTTCATTGCCGAATATGATTGATGACACACCCTGGGGGGGAGGGGGGAAACAGGGTCATGATTGGGGCGTAAATTACGTGGGGTCAGAGCTGGCTTCACTTGGGAACGTGCCGACAAGAAGCTCCTAATATCTGGATTTCTTCTGAAGCTTGGCTCAAAGCTCATGATTTAAGTAGGGCATCCGTCGGAACCCTGACAGGTGCCCTACCCCAAGATAGCATTTGAAGGGAGTGACCTGGATTGTGTCCTCTCTGTCTGATCTCATGGAGCAGATACCCTCAAGGAAAGGCAATCCCGTTGACCTTAATAGAAATTACTTTAATAGGGGACTCTGTGCTGAACAGGAATTTGGACCCAGCCACGCAGAAGACACCTTTCAAAGCTGTGATTCTGGTTTCCATTTTTTCCCCCTATGCACATATGCACTTTTTTTTTTTTTTTTAATTTATATGCCGCCCTTCTCCGGAGACTCAGGGCGGCTTACAATGCGTTAAGCAATAGCCTTCATCCTTTTTGTATATTTATACAAAGTCAGCTTATTGCCCCCACAACTGAGTCCTCAATTTACCTACCTTAGAAAGGATGGAAGGCTGAGTCAACCTTGAGCCTGGCGAGATTCGAACCTGCAGTAATTGCAGGCAGCTGGTCTTAATAACAGGGTGCTTTAGACCACTGTACTACCAAGGCTCTTGGTAGTACAGTGCATTACAGCAATTGCAACAGGGAGCTCTTTTCAACAGATGGTCCAGTTTGAATGTTAGGACCTTCTCTCTCTTTTTTTTTTTTTCTTTCTTTCTTTCAGTGACCAAATCCAGATGTCCTTCCTACGTTGGCATCACGGGCATCGTTGCCCAGGAAACGAAGTACGTGTTCAAAATTGTCACAAAAGAAGACAGGCTGAAAGGTAGGCAAACCTGATTCGATCAGTGTAGAGCAGTGATGGCTAACCTTTTTGCCGTTGTGTGCCAAAAGCGAAAAGCGGGGGTCGCGTAGGGGGGGGTCGCACGCATGCGTGCCCACACCATAATTCAACGCGCAGAGAATTTCTCTGTTCGTTCCTTGTAAGACCTGTGCCCTGTGTTAAACCATTTAACCAAAAGGTTAATTTTCTGGACTCCTTTCAGTTATTCCAAAGCGGAACAACATCTTCAGCATTGAAATGGATGGGTTTGTGTCTTACATCTACGGAAGCAGGATCCAGTTCCGAGCGAGTGAGCGTTCTGCGAAAAAGTTCAAGGGGCAAGGGACCATGGACCTGTGATTTTGCTTCTTTTGGTCTGCAAAATTGGAAACTTTGGTTTCCAGGGGTTTCCGAGAGTCCACCACAATCTTTTTTCTTCTAAGAAGAAAATGAGCGCAAGAAGCAACAGCAGCAGGAGCAAAGATGATTGCCTCTGTATCTTCACAAACCCAAAGTGGGTTCTTGCTTGTGTTGATATTGGCTGGCAAAGACTGGCAGTTTTGAGACTGCAATTCTCCAATTTTACAAGTCTAGTTCTAATTCTACGCTTATGCCATGTCGGATTTTGCATTATGTTATTGAAAATGTTCTTGTTTGTACTATGGAATGAAAAAACCTTTGAATTTTTTTTTTTAAAATGTCCAAAGCAGCAGTGGGCTCAGATTTGGCTATTTATGGTTTATAGTAAGCATTATACAGTTCGGTGAGATTTCAGTGGTAGAGACAGACAGACAGACAGACAGACAGACAGACAGACAGACAGACAGACAGACAGACATAGATAGATAGATAGATAGATAGATAGATAGATAGATAGATAGATAGATAGATAGATACCGGTACATACATAGAAACCTCACCTTGCAATTTGAGATTGACGGATGGACTCACTTTGAAACAAGATGGGCATCAAATTTAATAATAAAGAGGGACGGATACACAGGTACATATAGATATGGATGGATTTTTGCTTAATTTTCATTACATTTACAGGTTGCCCATCTTGCAGTTTGAGATACATAGACAGACAAAATAAGTATGTATTAAGTAGACCTGCTTTAATAGCAAGATTCAATACTGCTTGTTGCCGTCTCTCTTAATTAGTATGCAACCCCCCGACAAATTATTTTGATTGATCTGAGTTTTTGGAAGCCTATCCTGGAAAGGAAAAAAAAAATATGTTTCTGTTCTCCGTGTTTCCAATATCTGGGAGAAAAAAAGAATGCCTTTTTCATTCTTTCATGGTAAGCTAGCTGTTTACTACCGAACGTATTTGAGGGCTATCCCAAAAGGGTGGGGGGGAAGAAAGATTATGTAAATTGGACTATTTTTCTAAGGTTAGAACATCTCTGGCATGTAACGGGGAGCCTTATAAAATTCAGTGCCTGTCATCAAAAAGGTATGAAAAATAAAAACCCAAACTCTCGACAGGCGTTTATGAAGCAGCCTGGGATGCCCAAAGCTTTATAATGCAAAGCTCCTTTCTATTGTTTCCTTTCCCCCATGTCAAGGAAAGGAAGGGCGTGTCCCTCTTCGCCAGCATAATTCTCGAGAGGCCATGTGCCTTTCAACGATTAACTGAACCGAAATGTCTAAAAACAAAAAAAACAGGATGCACCGTGACATTGAAACGAAAGAGAATACCAGGGCATTCATCGGGGTAGGATTATTTAAAAAAAAAGATATGGCTGAACGCAAGAATTTCTTTGCCGTCAGAGCGCTTCGTGCATAAAAACGTTCCTTTCCAAAGCCTCCCACCTTAAAATATTTTGTGGCCAAAAAGGGAGAGAAAGATGAACTTGATCTACCATTTATTAAACAGTAACAGAGTTGGAAGGGACCTTGGAGGTCATCTAGTCCAACCCCCTGCTCACGCAGGAGACCTGTACTAGGGATTCGAACCGCCAAACTGCCGACCTTTCTGATCAACGAGCTCAGTGTCTTAGCCACTGAGCCACCTAGTCAGGAGTTATGCTCTTTTGTGCCATCTCCCCAATCTCCACAATGCTTTGTATTTTATTACAGCATATCCTCAACAGATGTCTCTCCGGGCATAACACAGTAAACTAAATTAAAGACCACTTCTGCTGATCACCGGCTGCCAGCAATTTGGCAGATCGAATCTCACCAGGCTCAAGGTTGACTCAGCCTTCCATCCTTCCAAGGCGGGTAAAATGAGGACCCAGATTGTTGGGGAAAATAAGCTGACTCTGTCTTACAGCCCTCTCTATCTTAGAGAGGGCTGTAAAGCACTGTAAAGCAGCATATATGTCTAAGTGCTATTGCTACTATCTATCTTTATCTATCTATCTGTCTATCAATCTATCTATATCTTATCTATCTATCTACCTAATCTATCTTATCTATCTATCTATCTATCTACCTAATCTATCTTATCTATCTATCTATCTATCTATCTATCTATCTATCTATCTAATCTATCTATCTACCTAATCTATCTTATCTATCTATCTATCTATCTATCTATCTATCTATCTATCTATCTACCTAACCGTGAGTCCTAGTCCCACATTAGGCCTGAAAGGCAGCTAGATGTCAAGTGTGGGAAATCAGGAAATCCAGGCAGTTCAAATGAATATATGCATTGATCTATGTTAAAGCTCCCTACAAGAATCTGAACTACTAATGGTCTAAGCAAGTTGGCAGTAGATAGGAGTCAATGGAATTCTAGGTTGGACTTAGATCTCTTTGAGCTTAAGGAACTTAAGTTCTGATGGTCATTTGACCCCTCCCTCGGGTTCAACCTGGTCCTCTCCTACACTAGGTGACTTTGGGCCAATCACTAAGAGTCGGTGAGTGCTAGTCCTGCCTTAGGCATAGAAGTCAGCTGGGTGTCCTTGGGCCAATCACCAGGAGATGGTGAGTTCTAGTCTTGCCTTAGACATGAAAGCTGACTGAGTAACTTTTGGCCAGTCTCTCTTTTCAGCCCGAGCCACCTCACAGGGTCGTTGTGGGGAAATAGGAGAAGGAAGGAGCATTAGGTATGTTCACTGCCTTGCGTTATCTATAAAAATAATAAAGGCAGGAAATAAAAGTAGATCCATATTGGTTATAATATATGTGTGTTGTGTTGTGTGTGTGTGTGTTGTGTGTGTGTGTTTTCTCAGGTTTTCGCGGGTGTTTGTATGTAGGTCTTTGGTTATTCGGGTCTTCTCCCACGTAAAATTGGAACTTCGTCGAAACGTCGCCAAGACACTTCCAATTTTACGTGGGAGAAGACCCGAATAACCAAAGACCTATATATATATATATATATATATATCACAAACTTCCCCTTGAACAATGACTTGACTCTGATTTACTTCATTCCATGATGTAACATCTAATTAGGACATCTGTTAAATGCCTACCATATTAATTTAATAGGAAGGGCTAATAGAACTTTATTGGCAGAGTCCAGTTAATTAACATTATGGGCCTTTTTAATGGACGTCTTAAATCAACATCGTTAGTGAAGATGCTATCCAAATTAAAGTAAGGACTGTTTCATTGGACTGTGAAGGGCACACCAAGTGAGGTGTGGATGTGCGACTTGGATTTATGCCCAACATGCACATTCTGAAACTTATTCTTCAAGGATATTATTTTAACAATAATTACGTATGTTGCAAGATTTCAGTAACTTCTTAAGATGGTGGTTTTGACAGCGCTGAAATCCCAAGAAAAGTGCAACAGACATCCTCACAGCAGAAAGAGGATAGATTTCACAGATTTTTCTCATCTTTCCTGAGAAGCGTTAAACTACTCATGGAGAAGGACAGCTATGGTTCCAGGGGAGGGGTAAAATGAATATTAATAACCCTGGATCCGATCCAGGGTGGGATTCAGTTGGTTCAGACCTGTTTGGGTAAACCGGATACTAATTTTACATCTGGTTTGCTAAACCGGTAGTTGCAAGGTCTGGTTGGCCCCTCCCCTCCCTCCCCTCCCAGGAGTCTCCATGCAGCCCATTTTGGATGCCAGGTAAGTGCAGGGCCCACGTGGAGGCTCTGGGAGGGCGAAAAACGGGCCTCCCAGAAGTTCTGCAAGTCCAGAAACGGGATCATTTCCAGCCTCCGGAGAGCCTCCAGAGCCCGGCGGAGGCCGTTTTCGCCCTTCCAGAGGCTCAAGGAAAGCCCCCGGAGTCTGGGGAGGGCAAAAAACAGGCCTCCCAGAAGTTCTGGAAGTCTGGAAACAGGCCCGTTTCTGGCCTCCGGAGACCCGCATCCCCCCAGGAATCCCCACGCGGCCTCCCAGGAGTCCCCACGCGGCCTGTTTTGCATGCAGGTAAGTGCAGGTCGCACGCGGAGGCTCGGGGAGGGGGAAAAACAGGCACCGGAAATTTGAGAATGCCCGTTTCTGGCCTCCGGAGACCCCTTCCGGTAGGCCTGTTTTTCCCCCTCCCCGAGCCTCCGCGTGCGACCTGCACTTACCTGCATGCAAAACAGGCCGCGTGGGGACTCCTGAGAGGGGTGGGGTGGGGTGGGGAGGGCGGGGCCAGCCAGGAGTGGGATTTGGGGCTTCTCCGAACTGCACAGAATCTTAGCTAGAGGTTCTCCCGAACCCCTGCGAAGCCCCCCAGAAGCCCACCCCTGGAATTGGGAGGAAATTAATTCAGCCTCCAGAGAGACCACACCGAGCTCTCATCATGTCAAGCAGGAGAAAAAAAATAACCAGGAAGCGATGAACCATAATTCATCGCTTCCTTGTTACTTGCCTGGCTAGTCACGTTGGCCGTCTACTGGCTTGTTTCAAAAAATGATGGCCTTGGAACGTTCAATAGCCGGATAGCTGGAACCACTCGCGGAAAAATTCCAATGCTGTTGCTGCTTTTGAACACTCCATTAGGTGCCTGCCTAATTAATGTAAATGATCATTATGCCTCTCTCACGGAGGGTTATTTTACTCAGAGGACCACCTACCCGCTGCCACAGTAGCCATCGGAGGGGGTTTTATAGGGAAGCTGGCACGGCGGTTGCCCGTTGAATAAAAGGTAAGGAGCCATCCTAGATAATGCAGATGGAAGGTTTAACGGTCTCCATAACATATTCCGGCAGTTATTTTATTCCAGGAATTAAAGAGTTTGATTGCAGCCCTGCGCTAATGAGGGGGAAGCCGCGTTGGCAAATGGGAAGCTTTCAGCAAGGCTGAATCTGCGAGAAAGGCTCAGGCAGAATATTTTGATAGAGCGGCAAGAAGCAAGGTAAAGGTAAAGGCTCTCCTCGCACATATGTGCTAGTCGTTCCCGACTCTAGGGGGCGGTGCTCATCTCCGTTTCAAAGCCAAAGAGCCAGCGCTGTCCGAAGACGTCTCCGTGGTCATGTGGCAGGCATGACTCAACGCCAAAGGCGCACAACGCTGTTCCCTTCCCACCGAAGGTGGTCCCTATTTTTCTACTTGCATTTTTTTACCTGCTTTCGAACTGCTACGTTGGCAGAAGCTGGGACAAGTCACGGCAGCTCAGCCCGTTACGCGGCACTAGGGATTCGAACCGCTGAACTGCCGACCTTTCGATCGACAAGCTCGGCATCTTAGCCACTGAGCCACCACGTCCCTTACGGCAAGAAACAAAGTGAGCCACAAATCGCTTTTGGAACGCAGGTGACACTTCTAAATCAAAGAAAAACAAAATCACACAGCCTATAGACT